TTCATAACAGTAGCAAAATTACAGTTATGAAATAGCAACAAAAGTAATTTTATGGTTGGGGGGGTCACCACAACATGAGGAACTGTATTAAAGGGTCACAGCATTAGGAAGGTTGAAAACCACTGGTTTATACATATGTACAAAAAAGAAAATTTCATCAAGGATAAATGATAAATTCATTCATGATAGATTTAATGTTCTATTCTTATATTGTATAAATACAGAAAATAAGTTGTTATTAATGGATCTATGCATTGGCAGCAAACATATGATAAAATCATGAATCTAAAATTACACTCACTTCCAAGTTGATCTAAACTCATAGTGACCCTCTTGAACAGAGTGGAATTGTTCCAGGGGGTTAGGAGGCTGTAAATCTTTATGGTAGCAAGCAGATAGCCTCATCATTCTCTCAAAGTGCCTACAGACCACTCAGTTAGCAGCCTACTGTCCTACCCGAGCTCTTTAAAATCATGGGCATGAAATAAGTACAAAATCCTTCACGGTAATAAGTGATGTTATGCAAAGGAGATTTTAAATTGATCTGTAATGCTCTCTGTCTCAAGAAATATGATTAAAAAAAAAATAAATAAAAAAAAAGAAATATGATAAAATAGCTACATTTTAAAACTTTAAGTTGTAGGTACATGTTTTTAAATGATTTTTTTTAGTATTTTTGAAGTACTTTCTAAAAATAGCTATCTAGCAAAAACTAGTAACAAAAACCGTACTTCATAAAATTATTATAAACTAAGAATTCTATAGATTTAGTAGAAAAAAAAACAAGAAAATAGAGGAATTAAATAATACTACCAGTAGACAAATTATGCATAAAATATTTTTGTGTGGTATATACATTTCACAAATAAAGATTTTTATGAACACATGCACAAGAAAAAAAGAACACTGTCTTTTAGTGTCTTATAGTCTCAATTTTAGTAAAACATACAAAATTAGTCATGTCCTGTGTCATACCATAAGAAAAGCTTTACAGATTTTACTTTCTCATTAACAATGAATAATTAACAATAAAATTAGGCATTCACTCACTCACTCACCCATTTACTCA